ACCAACACACATCCTCCGAAAGATGCCAATCATCTTGAGATTACTTCTAATGTGTAATACAAGATAGGTGCTATACAAATTGTTCTTTTTCTGTATTATTTAGGGAGTAATGACAGGGAAAGATGTCTGTACATGTTTGGGACAGATACAATTTTATTCCTAATGTTTTTGGCTCATACTTAGTTAAACCCTTAGATGTAGAACCTCAAATATAGTAGGGACAACTGTAAACTCTTTACACTCATCCAATCATCCATCTATTAAACTCTTGGACAAATATTTGTCTAAGAGTCTGTCCTGGCAAACAGAGACAGAAAATGAAATAGGTGCAGCCTCAGCCCTTCAGAAGTGTCTGCTCCACTGACCAGACTGACAAGTAAACATACACTATGGTGCTGGACTGAACAGCGTGATAGGGCTTTGTTCCAAAGACAGAGGGGGCAGGGCGAGGAACAGTCAGGTACAAATTCCTGCAGATTAGAGTCTAGAGTTTTGTTTTCTTACCAAGGGAGGACACATAATAATAGAAATTCCAGCGGGGGTGGGGGTGGGGGGAGAGGGCTGGGAAGGTGGCTCAGGGTAGAGCAGTTGACTTGCATGCATGAGGCCCTGGGTTTGATTCCTCAGCACCACATAAGCAAAAAGAAAAAAGCCGGAAGTGGCGCTGTGGCTCAAGTGGTAGAGCGCTAGCCTTGAGCTGAAGAGCTGAGGGACAGCGCCCAGGCCCAGAGTTCAGGCCCACAACCAGACCCCCCCCAAAAAAAAAAAAGAAAGAAAGAAATTCCAGCTGGTAGTTGAATGTGTAAGGAGTGAATTCAGTGAAAGGGACAATAAGATCATCTGGCTCTGACGCTAGACATCCTGATTACACTCAAATTCCCTCCCTCACTGGCTGCATGATGGTGGTCATAAAACCAATCCTTTCCATACCTCAGTTTTGCCTTCTGTGAAATGGGATTTTAAAATGTTACTTGCCTTCTTTGTTGGGTATTCAGGTTATCTATATAAAGCACCTGACATAAGCAAGGCTCCAGTGGCTCACACCTGTAATCCTAGATACTCAGGAGGCTGAGATCCGAGAATCACAATTCAAAGCCAGTGTTGGCAAGAAAGTCAATCATGGGGCTTGCACTCTGGGCCTGGGCGCTGTCTCTCAGCTCTTCAGCACAAGGATAGCACTCTTAACACTTGAGCCACGGTGCCACTTCCAGTTTTCTGGTAGTTAATTGGAGATAAGAGTCTCACGGACTTTCCTGCTGGGGCTGGCTTTGAACCATGATCCTTAGATCTCAGCCTCCTGAGTAGCTAGGATTACAGGCTTGAGCCACCAGCACCAGCTTTTTTTTTTTTTTTTTTGCCGGTCCTGGGGCTTGTACTCAGGGCTGGGCTCTGTCCCTGAGCCTCTCTGTGCTCAAGTCTAGCACTCTACCACTTGAGTCACCATGCCACTTAGGGATTTTTTTTTTTTTCGGCTTATGTGGTACTGAGGAATTGAACACAGGGCTTCATGGATGCTAGACAAGTACTCTACCATTAAGCTACATTTCCAGCCTATGAGACTCTTACCTACAATTAACCACCAGAAAATTGGAATTGGAGCTGTGGCTCAAAGTGGTAGAGCACTAGCCTTGAACACAAGCTCAGGGACAAGCCCCAGGACTGGCATCAAAAATAAATAGATAGATAAATAATACAATACCTAACACAGCTTCTGAGATTTCGTTAGTCTTCAGTAAAGGGTAACTTTTTTTCTCTGGCAAGTCTTCCCTAGGGTTTATAAGTATGTTGTTATACCATATGATAAAATGTATTTCATATTATATAACATATTATTTATCATATATACACTATTTAATGATATATAATATTATCATATGATGTATATATGTTATATATTTATTATATTTATATCATATATATTGTAAATAGCTCCATCTTTGACCCACATATCCTCCTCTACCTACTTACACAATAAGTGTCATAAGTGTTTCTTATGACAACTATGAGAGAATTCTCCAAGTTCCCCATTTAGTCTCCCCTACCCCTGAACTTTCTCCATGGAACCTGCTTTTTTTTTTTTTTTTTTTTTGTCGGTAGGGGGGCTTGAACTCTGGGCCTGGGCGCTGTCCCTCAGCTCTTCAGCTCAAGGCTAGCGCTCTACCACTTGAGCCACAGCGCTACTTCCTGCTTTTTTTCTTTTTGCTTATGTGGTGCTGAGGAATCGAACCCAGGGCCTCAGGCATGCAAGGTAAGTGCTCTACCACTGAGCCACCTTCCCAGTGCACAGCTATCATTCTACAGTCCCAAGGATTATCATCTCTTACTTGAAATTCTTGAGATAGGGTCTTACTAATTTACTAACTTTCTTGCTCAGGCTGCCAGGGAACTAATCCTTCTATCTCAGCTTCCCAAATAGCTGGGATTACAGACATGAACCACCACACCAGGCCTGTTCTTTGAGATAAGCTCTTTTTTTTTTTTTTTTGCCTTGGTGGGCCTTAAACTACACTCCCACTTCTGCCTGCCAAGAAGCTGGATGACAGATGTCGGTCATTATGCCTAGGGCCCTCAGGTGATTCTTTTTTTTTTTTTTTTGGTTGGTCATAGGGCTTGAACTCTGGGCCTGGGTGCTGTTCCTCAGATCAAGGCGAGTGCTCTACCATTTGAGCCACAGCGCCACCTCCGGTTTCCTGGTGGTTAATTGGAGATAGTCTCATGGACTTTCCTTGCCTGGGCTAGCCTTGAACCAGGATCCTCAGATCTCAGTCTCTTGAATAGCTAGGATTACAGGCATGAGCACGGGCACCCAGGCTTAGGTTCCAACATTTAAAAAACATGTATGGGCTGGGAAGGTGGCTCAGTGGTAGAGTGCTTGCCTTGCATGCATGAGGCCCTGGGTTCTATTCCTCAGCACCACATAAACAGAAAAAAAAAATCTGGAAGTGGTGCTATGGCTCAAGTGGTAGTGCTAAGCACTAGCCTTGAGCTGAAGAGCTGAGGCATAGTGCCCAGGCCCAGAGTTCATGCCCCATGACCGACAAAAAAATAAAAAATAAATTTAAGAAATTTTATTTTTATAAGTCCTGGAACTTGAACTCTGAGCCTGGATACTGAACTCCTTTGCTAAAGGCTTAGTACTCTACCACTTAAGCCACAGCTCTACTTCTAGTTTTTTCTATGATTAATTGGAGATGAGTGTCACCGACTTTCCTGTCCCTGCTGGCTTTGATTCACAAACCTCAGATCTCAGCCTCCTGAGTAGCTAGGATTACAGGTATGAACCACTTGTCCTCTGCAAAAGATCAACATTTTTTTTTGGGGGGGGGTGTCATGGGGCTTGAACTTTGGGCTTGGGCGCTGTCCCTAGGCTCTTCAGCTCAAGGCGAGCACTCTACCACTTGAGCCACAGAGTTCCAAGTTTTTAAACCAATTTATAGCCCAGGGAGCACAGTCTTCTCCAAGTGGCTTATTTCTGGGGTGGAAACAGACCTACTTGGCTCCCAATCTAGAAGAAATGATAGGGATTGGAGATGTTGGTAGAGTGTTAGTTGATGAGTGAAAGCATCAGGTAACAAGTTTGAGTCCTGGTCTTGGACCTAAAAAAAAAAAAGACACTATAGCAGGTATAAGCCCCCTTCCAGAAAACCACATGGACACACCCACTGACAGAGTTACAGTTTATTGCCAGCCTGAGCTGACAAGGCTACCTCTCCCACCAGAGAGGGAAACATGGCGCCTGTCCTTTGTTCAGGGTCAAATTTATATTTAGGGGGGCTAGGGGAGGGAAGATGGGAAGTCTTCTGATGGTACATAGCTGGGGAGGGGTTTTCTAAAGGCAACAGTTCACAGTTAGGCCTCATTCCCTGATGCAACTCTGGGAAGTAAAGGGGGAGGAGCGGCCAGAGCTGAAGGCCAGCTTCAGTTAGGCCTGGCCAGATCGACTGGCTTTGAGGGAGGAGCTGAGGACCTGAGATGGAGGGCATGCTAACCCCAGGGGCAGCTTAGCTGACACTGTACCTCTCCTGCTCTGCCCTCCTGTCTGGAGATAAGCTGGCTGATCTCACTCAGGGAAATGGCACTGGTCTTTGAAGCACTTGCCCAGTTCAAAGCCTCTCTCTTCCAAGGGACATTTTACAATGCCTAGATACTTGTATTTGACATAGATGGGGTGGGGAGTTCTAACAGGTAGAGGCCTGGGCTACTGCTAAGCTTCCTACAATGCATAGGAAAATAATTAGCCGGATGCTGGTGGCTCATGCCTGTGACCCTAGCTAGTCCAGAGGTTGCGATCTAAGGATTGCGAGTCGAAGCCAGCCTAGGCACTAAAGTGTGAGATTCAGCTTCAGTAAACAATTCGAAAAAGCTGGAAGTGGAGCTCTGGTTCAAGGGCTAGAGCACTAACCTCGAACAAAGGAAGCTCAGGGACAGTGCCCTGAGTTCAAGCCCCAGAATGGGGGGGGGGGAGAGGGGCCCGCTGGGGAAGACCACCCTGGCTTCTCTGAGACAACGTATAAAATACCTACTGAGACAAAGACTTGTTAAGAAAAATGTTAACACTCGGGCGCCAGTGGCTCACCCTTGTAATCCTAGCTACTCAGGAGACTGAGATCTGAGGATCATGGTTCAAGGCCAGCCCGGAAAAGACTATCTCCAATTAACCACCAGGAAACCGGAAGTGGCGCTGTGGCTCAAGTGGTAGAGTGCTCACCTTGAGCTGAAGAGCTGAGGGACAGCACCCAGGCCTAGAGTTCAAGCCCCACGACCGACCAAAAAGAAAAAGAAAGAGTTACATTTCTGGTGTACAGGCTGTCAAAGCGGGAGGGATGCGGGGGAGAGGGGAACCTTCCGTGTCCAGAGGGGACTCTCTAGCCGTCGGGCCAGCCGAAGCAACCCTGCACACTCGTTGGTATTTTCCGAGAAGCCTGCGCTTCCGGGAGCGGCCTCTCTATCCGGCCGTCTCAGTGGTCGCCGCAGCCCCGCCCCTCCCCGGCTGCCCGAGCCCCGCGGACTCTGCCCAGCGCCGCCGCGGTGCTGTGGGGCTCCCGAGTCGGTCGGATCCCGGGTCATGGCGGTCCCGGGGCCCGCGCCCGGAGCTGGCGCTAGGTGAGCAGAGCAGCTGGGGAGGAGGGCCGGGGTGGCGCAGGGCGTCCCGCCTGGGACGGTGGGGAAGGGGCTCCTCCGCTCCTGATCCCAGTGAGGTCTGACGGGAAGGAGCGTCCCCCCTCGGCCGGTCCCGAGCCCCCCGCGTCGGCTGCCGTCCCCTCCCTTTACCTCCCCAAGGCCTTTTTGGTTTGTTTGCTGGTGTCAGCCCCTCACAGTGCACGCTGTGGTCCTTCTCGGGTCCTGGCACCACGTGGGGCCCTCTTGTGCCACTTTTCCCTCTTCATTCCGATCCTCAATACCATTTCATCCTTGGGACACCCCAGATCACTCTGGGTCTAGTATTTTCACAAGCCACCTTGCATAAATTGTGTCACCTTAAATATATATAGCGGTTTTGAATTTGTATAAGTCATACGCTGTGATTTTTTTTAAAGACTTAAAAAACTTAGTTTTTGAGCTCATCCAGCCTCAGTTTTCACCCTAGTGATGGGTCCCTAGATTGCTTCCAGTATCTTAACCACTACAAAGTCTACTGTGTTCAAATATTCTGGCAGTTGTCTCCAGGTGGATATCAGTGATTTAGGTGATCCACCCCAGAGTAGGAGGCTAGGTCCTGGAAACTTTGGTTAGGTTATTATTATTAATTATTATTTGGTAGATTGTGGGGCTTGAACTCGGCCTGGGCATTGTCCCTGAGATTTTAAATTCAAGGCTAGCATTCTACCACTTTGCCATAGCACCACTTCCAATTTTTTTCTGGTGGATAATTGGAGATAAGAGTCTCAAGGACTTTCCTGCCTGGGCTGGCTTTGGATTCTCAGATCACAGTCTCCTGAGTAGCTAGGATTACAGACATAAGTCAGTGCCCAGCTTAATTTTGGTAGGTCACCCCAGATTATTCTCCTCAACAGCAGGATGATAGGTCCCTGTTTTCCCATAGCCTCTCATGATTTGGTATTGTTTAGTTTTTTTCTCATGTCTGTCAATGTCATGGGTGTAAGATGCTACCCATTGTGTTCATTTGAATACATTTACTAGGCCTATGGGTTTCCCCTCCTGGGGATGTCTGTTTATATCCTTCACTTTTCTGTGTATTTCCTGAATTTCTGACTTCTGTGCTTTGGTTTTTTTCATCCTTAATTGGTTTTTACTTATTGGTTTTAACCCCCCACCCCCTTCACCGCTTTCCTAGTGTTTGAACTCTGAGCATGGGCTCTGTCCTTGCACTCTTCAGCTCAAGGCGAGCACTCTACCATTTGAGCCACAGCACCACTTCCAGTTTTCTAGTGGTTTATTGGAGATAAGAGTCTCACAGACTTTCCTGCCTGGGCTGGCTTTGAACTGTGATTCTCAGATCTCAGCCTCTTGAGTAGCTAGGATTACAGTTGTGAGCTCTACAGATGCTTTCTCTATCTTTTTAAACTAAAATCTATTGTAATGTACTAAGCAGAAAGAGTTTATTCTAATTAAGTGAAATCTGTTTTCTCCTTTACAGTTTGTGGGTTTGGTCTCTTATTGAGGAATGCCTTCCCATTTTAAGGCCATTAAATCATCTTTAAATGTTTTTCTACATTTCTTTCTGTTACTTTTTTTTTTTTTTGCCAGTCATGGGGCTTGAACTCTGGGCCTGGGCACTGTCCTTCAGCTCTTCAGCTCAAGGCAAGTACTCTACCACTTGAGCCACAGTGCCACTTCTGGTTTTCTGATACTTTATTGGAAATAAGAGTCTCACAGACTTTCCTGCCCATGCTGGCTTTGAACTGGGATCCTCGGATCTCAGCCTCCTGAGTAGCTAGGATTACAGGCATGAGCCACCGCCACCCAGCTACTGTCACATTTTGCCCTGAGATCTAGTCCTGGTCTGTCATTGTCAGTATTTATAAACCATTCTTTCTTCAAAGCCTGGCCCCTCTCCAGACCAATGTGGATAAGCTGGGTCACTGTTGTCTAGCACTTAACTGTTCTCTGGGGCTTCTCTCTATTCCTGACTTTTCTTCAGGCCTAGGTTAGATCTGCAATTTCTCCAGCGGTTCCTGAGAATACAGAAGGTTTTGTTTCCTTCCTGGTCATCACAGAATGTCTTGATGTTCCTGACTCTCTTGTTTGTGACTCTACTGGGTGAGTGCCTAAGTTGGGGCTTGGTGGGGCACAGGGGAAAGCACTAGTTTGGAGTCCCCTTCTCTCTGAGATAGGAGAGACAGGAACTCAGGAAGCCCCTACCTTTTATTCCCTCATCAATGATTTCTGACTCCTCCCTCCCTACAGAACAACTGGTGATATACCAGGTTGGCGTGATCCCCAGTCAGTACTATGGGGTCCTGGGAAACAAAGACTTGGATGGGTTTAAGGCACTGACATTCCTGGCTGTTGTGTTCATCGTTCTCAACTCCACAGTAAGGGCTTCCTTTTTCTCTGTGTCTCTTCCTTATCTGGTGTGAGTGGAATAAATAACTTTTGGAACTTAGTCTTCAAGAAGCAAGAACCAGGCTTTCGTGGGTGTTCCTTCCTTTTCCAAGGAATTGGGATGGTGACCCTGGACATCAGAACTTTGAGCAGGGCATTGATCTTGCTATTGGCCCACTTGGGACAGATTTCTCATGTATTTCAAACTCGTTAGGACTAGGCTGCACGATTCTGGCTTCATTTCGCAGAAATGGATACTGTCCCTTCGCTTCCTAGAACTCTTGCTTCTGGGAGCTTAGAGTAGGCTAAAACCAGGATTGACATGTAATTGCAACCCCTCTGTACAGTATTTTCACAATAAAAACTTATTTAAAAATAAATAAAACCAGGATTGACAGCCAGAGCTGTTGCTGTTCCTCTGGCAGCTGAGGCTGTAACTCAACTTAGCATTGTGTCACACCTCCAGCTTTCAACATCTGCTGCTTTCTTGCTGAATAACCTCTTTTCTTTACCCTTTGTTAGTTGGCTAAATCCTGCATATTGTTTTCAAGAGTCTTCCTTGTCCACTCTTTCAGGTCCTCAACTCTCTGCTGCACATTTCCTCCACCTAACTCAATCCTATTTTGTACTTGCATTCTGTTGTCTATCTCCTGACACTCATTTTCATTGTCTGCTCCTTAGCTAGACTGTTATTTAAGTGCCTAGGAAAGAGGTTGCTTCAGAAATGGTAGATTGTGAGGCTGGGAAGGTGGCTCAGTGGTAGAGTGCTTGCCTTGCATGCATGAGGCCCTGGGCTCGATTCCTCAGTACCACATAAGCAGAAAAAGCCAGAAGTGGCGCTGTGGCTCAAGTCGTAGAGCGCTAGCCTTGAGCTGAAGAGCTGAGGGGCAGCGCCCAGGCCCAGAGTTCAGGCCCCACAACCTGCAAAAAAAAAAAAGGCAGATTGTGAGTCAGGGCTCTGCTAGAACCCAGCCTATTGTCTCTCAGGCTGGACTAGCTGTTTTCTATAGAACCACTTCTTGTCATACTGTTGCTACTTTTGGTGGACTTTCAGTCAGTGAGCCCTAAATATATAGAGCCCTTTTCCAGGCTTGGGAGACAGAAGAGTAAAAACATAAGTGAGGGGGGGCTGGGAAGGTGGCTCAGTGGTAGAGCGCTTGCTTTGCATGCATGAGGCCCTGAGTTCAATTCCTCAGCACCACATAAAGAGAAAATGTCAGAAGTGGCACTGTGGCTCAAGTGGTAGAGTGCTAGCCTTGAGTTGAAGAGCTCAAGGACAGCACCCAGGCCCAGAGTTCAAGCCCCACAACTGACAAAAAAAAAAAAAGCCAGAAATAACGCTATGACTCAAGAGGTAGAGTGCTAGCCTTGAGCAAAAGAAGCTCAAGGACAGTGCCCATGCTCTGAGTTCAGGTCCCAATACTGGCAAATAAAAACAAAAAATACCCCATAAATGAAACACATGATAAGCTTCCCCCCTTCTCTGTATTCAGTTAAGACCTATGATACAGGTGCTGGGAAGGTGGCTCAGTGGTAGAGTGCTTGTGTTGCATGCATGGGGCCCTTGGTTTGATTCCTCAGCACCACATAAGCAGAAAAAGCTGGAAGTGGGGCTGAGGCTCAAGCAGTAGAGTGCTAATCTACAGCTGAAGAGCTGAGAGACAGTGCCCAGGCCCAGAGTTCAGGCCCCACGACCAAAAAAATAAAAAAAAAAGATCTCTGATACAAAAAGAGGCAAAGCTTTTGCCTTTAGTAAGCCTTTCAGGTTTTTGTAAGGATAAACACAAAAAAAAAATGGGGAAGGGAAATCCTGTGATTTGAAGCTTTTGTTAAGAGAGAAAAGTGCTGAGTGATCAGAATAGGCTAGGCTGAGTCAGCAGAGACATCTGTCAGCCTTGAGCTTTGACCTGAGACTTACAGGAAGCTTCTCTCTCCTCCCTTCCCCTTGCCTCCTGTGCTGCACAGCTGAAGAGTTTTGACCAGTTCACCTGCAACCTGCTGTATGTGAGCTGGAGGAAGGACCTCACTGAGCACCTGCACCGCCTCTACTTTCGGGCCCGTGTGTACTACACCCTCAATGTGCTTCAGGATGGCATCGATAACCCGTAGGCACCCTCATACCTGACCCCTGTGTGCCCCATTCACCTAGCTTAGCCCCAGAGAGTCCTGGCCTCAGATTCCATGGAGGTCATATCTAGTAGGCCAGTGTTATTGCCAAACCATGGGAGAAGGGTGCTCCAAGAAAATCTCTAGAGAGGCTGTGTGCCTGAGAGTAGAAAGCAGAAAAGAAGAAGCCAGGAGCCAAGCATAGTTGCACATGTTTGTAATACCAGCATTCGGGAGGCTGGGGCAAGAGGATCACAAATTTGAGCTATCTCTGTGTGTGTGTGTCTGTGTCTGTGTGTGCGCGTGCACACACACATATGCACATGCATGCACGCACCAATACTAGAGCTTTAACTCAGAGCCTGGGCACTGTCCCTTAGTTTTTTCTACTATGGCTCTACCAGTTGAACCATACTTTTACTTCTGGCTTTTTTCTGGTTAATTGAAAATAAGAGTCTCTGAGCTCAGGAGGCTGAGATCGAGGATTGAGGTTCAAAGCCAACCTGGGCAAGCAAGTTCGTGAGACTCTCATCTCCAGTTGACCACTAGAAAACTGGAAGTGGCACTGTGGCTCAAGTGGTAGAATGCTCACCTTGAGCTGAAGAGCTGAGGGACGGTGCCTAGTCCTAGAGTTCAAGCCCCATGACCAACCAAAAAAAAAAAGTCTCAGATTTGTCTGCTTGGTTGGGTTTGAACCTTGATCCTCAGATCTCAGCCTTCTGAGTAGCTAGGATTACAGGCGTGAGCCACTGATGCCTGGCTGAAAGGAAGCTCTTCGACCTTCAAGTGTCCCTTTGGTTCTATACAGAACTGACTTAAGCCACAAGTACTGGATCTTTTGATTCCACCTTTTCTGGGGGATGAGTGAGGCACCATAAGAAGCAGCTGTCTGGAGTCTTGTGTAGAGGTCCTAAAGATGACTTTTCTAAGTCCTAGAATGTTCCCATCGAGAAAAGGTGTAAGTTCTGACTATTATCATCCTGGAGCCCAGCTAACTTGGTTCAACTGCTCCGTGTTGTTGGCTGCAGGGATCAGCGTATCAGCCAGGATGTGGAGCGATTCTGCCGGCAGCTCAGCAGCATGGCGAGCAAACTAATTGTCTCCCCCTTCACACTCGTCTATTACACATACCAGTGCTTCCAAAGGTGCAGCCTTTCCCCTCCTGGGCTTCCTCCTCCTCCTCCTCCTCCCTGGCCTCATGTCCCCCTAAGTCTCTCAGGGTCCTGGAGAGGCTGGTCTTTCTCCCCTACCTGTACTCCAGGGCATCACCTCCACATGGAGACCCCATGGAGCTGCTGAGACTGAGCAGGGACTGGGAGCAGGGGGCAGGGCTGAAGTCCATGGTGCTGTGTGGCCTCCATGCCATCCCTCGCCCTCTCTGTCACTCTGTCCCTCAGCACAGGCTGGCTTGGGCCGGTGAGCATCTTCGGGTATTTCATCCTGGGAACCATGGTGAACAAAACCCTGATGGGCCCTATCGTGGCGAAGCTGGTGCAGCAAGAGAAGCTGGAGGGGGATTTTAGGTGTGTCTCTTTTGCTAAAGCTAACAGGTGTGATCCAGGGTAAGCCTTCCTTAGTTTGCATCCAAGAAGTGCCAGTTTCTAGCTGAGTGATCTTGTGCAAAGCCTTTCACCTCTCCAAGGTGAAAGTGTTTTCCTTTCTAAAGTGGATGCTGTGGTTGCCTACTGAGAGAATTGAGGAGCATTGAGAACAGTGTCTCATTGGCCATCACCAACATCATGGTCCCTGGGCTTTCTCACATGCTTCTCTAACCACCCTTTCTCTTGGGCCTGGCAGCTCCCCTTAGCATCTTCCTTCAGGCTGGGGCTTAGGAAGGAGGTGTGGGGGAAGGAGGTGCTAGAGGTAGGAGCACAGAAAGTAGAGGGCAACCCCGACTTTGCACAGGCCCTGAGACTTCCAGTCCATGGAAAGTTCAGTGGAAGCAGCCATAGTGTTGAGGTGGAACTGGGTTCCACATTGTTGGGGTGAGAGGTGTTGGTCTTGATCCAGGTCTCCCCGTTGTCAGTACACATTCCTCTTTGGTCTGCCCAGGTTCAAGCACATGCAGATTCGGGTGAACGCTGAGCCTGCTGCTTTCTACAGGTGAGTGTGGCAGAGATAGTCCTCTACTATGAAAAGATAAGTCCGCAGGCCTCTTGCTACCGTGGAGCTTTTACTGAGCATTCTCATGCTTGGCTGCCACTCTCCCTGTCCACACTGTCATTAACTGCCTTGTCCTTAGGTCTAGAGATTGCTTCTGAAGCTGGTAGCCTTGTACAGTAGACAGCTTTAGTCTTAGTGGCCTAATATGAAGTATGAAATAACCAGAGAATAAAATGAGTAGAGTAGGTGCTGCTTCAACCTGATGACTATAAGGCATCACCTCTACTGTTTTCCTGAATGAAGTAGTTTTCTTGCCAGTGCCCAATACACATGGCTGGTCCTTTGTAGCATGGGAGAGAATGGGAACCCCTCTGAAAATCAGACTCCCCCACAAGTGCCTGCTCCCGTGTCTGGTGTCCTAGTATTCAGGCACTCGGCAGTGTTGTGGTCTTCCTTTCCTCCTGGGCAGGCCCCTGTGCTCTGCCACGTGGGAGGCTTCCAAGACCAATATTTGGTTTATGTTTAAGCAGTTGGTCTAGATAACTGTGTACTGGTGGCTCACGCCTGTAATCTTAGCTACTCAGGAGGCTGAGATCTGAGGATTAAGGTTGAAAGCCAGCTTGGGCAGAAAAGCCTGTGAGATTCATGTCTCCAGTTAACCACCAAAAAGCCAGTGGCTCAAGTGGTAGAGTACCAGCCTTGAGTGAAGAAGTCAAACAAAAGCATGAGCTCCCAAGTTTAGACTCCACTACTAGTACAAAAAGAAAAAAAAAAGGGGGGGGAGGCGCTTTTCCTTGTATCACCTGTTCTTTTTTTTTGTCGGTCGTGGGGCTTGAACTTTGGGCCTGGGCGCTGTCCTTCAGCTCTTCAGCTCAAGGCGAGCGCTCTACCACTTGAGCTACAGCGCCACTTCCGGTTTTCTGGTGGTTTATTGGAGATAGGAGTCTCACAGTCTCTCCTTCCCCGGGCTGGCTTTGAACCGCGATCCTCAGATCTCAGCCTCCTGAGTAGCTAGGATTACAGGTGTGAGCCACCAGCGCCCGGCCCGGCGTATCACCTGTTCTTAGGGTGGATGGAATAGCCCAAGGTCCTTTCTCCTTTGTCAGTCTCTACCACAACTTGCAGTGGTAGTGAGGTAGGTAGGGCTGGGCTGCTGGTGACAGTACATGTGGATTCTGCAGCTTCTCATTTAGTTCTGGGGAAGGCAGATTTGTTTTTAGAGTTCCAGATAAGTTCTTTGTAGCTTCTGAAAATGTGGATAAATCTGAAATGGTCCCCTTTACTCCCTCTACCTTTTCGGCCTGGAATTTCTGCCTGTCCTTGAAGCCCCATATCTTTGAGTTTTCCCGAACTTCCCTCAAGGTTGGGTTTGTTTGTTATCTTAGTCACATGTGACACTCCATTGTCCAGGCAAAGAGTGTGGTGTGGCTTTCTGTCCCCTGGCCCGGGAGCTCCTCAAGGAGGAGGGCTCTTTCTTGTCCACTTCTCCACTTCACTCGCTGACTGGTCCTGAGCCTGGACTGTGCCATTTTATTTGGTCCCCAGCAGCTCTTAGTTATTGAGTGCCCCTCATGTCTTATATTTTGCATTCAGAAACTTTTTTTTTTTTTTTTGGTCAGCCCTGGGGCTTGAACTATGGGCCTGCGCTGTCCCTCAGCTCTTCAGCTCAAGGCAAGCGCTCTACCACTTGAGCCACAGCGACACTTTTAATTTTTGGGTAGTTAATTGGAGATAAAAGTCTCATGAACTTTGCTGCCTGGTCTGGCTTTGAACGGGGATCCTCAGATCTCAGCCTCCTGAGTACCTAGGATTACAGGCATGAGCCACCGGCACCCAGCTGCATTCAGAATCTTGTGTGTGTGTGTGGGCGGGACGTGAGTCTTGAACTCTGGGCCTGGGTGCTGTCCCTGAGCTCTTCAGCTCAAGACTAGCACTCTACCGCTTGAGCCACAGCACCATTTCCTGCTTTTTCTGTGAGGAATCGAACTCAAGGCCTCATACATGTGAGGCAAGCACTCTACCACTGAGCCACCTTCCCAGCCCCAGAAACTCTTTAATTCTTATTTTATCCTAACATAATATTTTATCTTAACAAGTGAGAGAAGGTAAGGCAAAGGCTTTATACAGCCTGCCCATGTCACCTATGAAGAAACTAGAGTCTGGATTCGAACCGGGTCTGGCTAAGTCTAGAGTTCTTTTCTGATAAGATCACAAGGAATACAAGTAAGGGATGATGGGTGATAGTGACAGGAGGGTTCTAAAACCAAGACACTTGGATGGGCTGGGCGCCTAATGGAGGCTGTGAGAGTTTTAGGGTGCCCCAGCCTGGCTCAGCTCCCCAGGCCTGTGGACATCCCAGCCTTTCCTGTTAGAGCCGGGCATGTGGAACACATGAGGACAGACCGCAGGCTGCAGAGACTCCTTCAGACCCAGAGGGAGCTGATGTCCAAGGAGCTCTGGCTGTACAGTAGGCAGAGGGGCCCCGGGAGTTGGGAACCATGGATCGGGTTGCTTGCTTCCTTCCCACACCTCCCTACTTTCTGCCTGCCCAGATGAGCCAGCGGAACCACTGCCTTTGCCAGGGCTGTCCTCAAAATGAGGACATAGGGGAAGTATAACCCTGCTTGGCCTCCTGCTCTCCATCCTGAGGGCCAAGTTCCCTACAGAGCTCATAGGTGTCTCCTGGGCCTCATGCAGTCTGTCTGTTCTACAGTCGGTGTCAACACCTTTGACTATCTGGGCAGCATCCTGAGTTATGTTGTCATCGCAATCCCCATCTTCAGTGGGGTCTATGGAGACCTGAGCCCCACAGAGCTTAGCACGCTGGTCAGCAAGGTGAGAGTCTCTCCTGGCCACCCCTCATGCTGTCCCCACTGCCCTTGTGCCCAGTGACCGAGGTCTTGGAGTTGAAGCCCATACTGACTGCCCTCCATCCTATCCAGAATGCCTTTGTGTGCATGTACCTCATCAACTGCTTCACCCGCCTCATCGACCTCTCCACCACATTCTCAGATGTGGCTGGTTACACGCACCGGTGAGGCTCCGCCCCTGCGGCTGCTTCCTGAGCAGCGTGAGTTGTTGGAAGAAGCTGAATGGGGAACAGTGCCAGCGGGTGGGAGGTAGGAAGGAGTGTCACCTTCATCAGGAGCCCCACACCGTGCCTCAGGTTCTCACTTCTTACCAGGATCGGGGAGCTTCAGGAGGCCCTGCTGGACATGTCTCAGAAGTCACAGGACTGCGAGACCCTGAGAGAGACCGAGTGGGGCTTGGACAAGTGAGTACTGGGCTGCATGTAACACAGGAATCCAGACTGAACGACAGGCCTGGCGGCGTTCCTCTGGGTGATGGCCCTTGCAGCTGGGTAGCAGACCCATGGGGAATGAATAAAAGCAGTGGCCATCTTATGCTAAGCATAAGTGTCTCTGTTGCCATCTCTATGGCACCCATTGCTCTGATTTATATTCTACCCCAGGTGATGGCAACAGAGGGCACACACCTGCCTCATCACCAAACAAAAGCCTGAGCTAGGCATGGTGTCACATACCTGTAATCCCAGTGCTCTGGAGTCTGAGGGCAGTTCCAGGCCGGCCTATGCTATATAGCAAGATTGTCCCTCAAAGAACCCAAACGATAAATAGTAACACAATCTGGGTAGTGCCCTTCTCCTTCCTCCTTCGCGTGAAGCTCTGCTGCTTGCCCCTTCCTGTGTGTGTCCTGTGTTCCGTGTGCCACACTCAGATCCACAGTTGTCTTTATTCATACACCTTTGCGGACCAGGAATATTTCTTTTTTCTTTTTTTTTGGGGGGGGGGTCCGGTTGTGGGGCCTGCACTCTGGGCCTGGGCGCTGTCCCTCAGCTCTTCAGCTCAAGGCTAGTGCTCTACCCCTTGAGCCACAGGGACACTTCCGGCTTTTTTCTTTTTGCTTATGTGGTGCTGAGGAATCGAACCCAGGGCCTCAGGCATGCAAGGCAAATGTTCTACCACTGAGCCACCTTCCCAGCCCCGGACCAGGAATATTTCTGATCTTCCTCTGCATTCAGAATTTGGGGAAATTACTTAGCTGTTGTTCTGGGTCTTGGTTTATTTGTTGCTAAAAAAGAGGAATTAGTGGTGCTGGGAAGGTGGCTCAGTGGTAGAGCACTTGCCTTGCATGCATGAGGCCCTGGGTTCGATTCCTCAGCACCACATAAGCAAAAAGAAAAAAGCCAGAAGTGGTGCTGTGGCTCAAGTGGTAGAGCATTAGCCTTGAGCTGAGGAGCTGAGGGACAGCGCCCAGGCCCAGAGTTCAGGCCCCACAACCAGACCCCCCCCCAAAAAAAATTAAAAAAGAGGAATTAGTGAAACCTTTCTTCTGTGTGCTTTGAGGATTAGATCTCAGTCCTTGAAAAGTACTTGGACAGTGGCCACATGGTAAGCTTTCAAAAATGGAAACAGTCTGAATTCCAGAGCCTATGCTCAACTCTCTCTTCTTAGTAACAAATGCTTTAATAGTTACCCTGTTGAAAATGCCACCAAAGGCCGGGGGGATGGGGTGCATGGAGTCAGGCATCCATGGAGAACCAAGAGCTCCAGAGCTGTCGAATAGTAACCACTTCCATCTTACTATGATTATCCTAGTCACCTGTGCCACCTGGAAAACCCACCAACCCTAGAATTAGAAGAGTCAGCTCAGCAACCCTGGGCAAGTTACTCAGCTACTTGACTGGATTTCCTCATCTGGGGAGAATTTTTTCTTTTCTTTTTTTTTTTTTTTTTGGGTCTGGTCTGGGGCCTGAACTCTGGGCCTGGGCACTATCCCTCAGCTCTTCAGTTCAAGGCTAGTGCTCTACCACTTGAGCCACAGCACCACTTCCGGCTTTTTTTGCTTTTTGCTTATGTGGTGCTGAGGAATTGAACCCAGGGCCTCATGCATGCAAGGCAAGCACTCTACCACTGAGCCACCTTCCCAGCTCGAATTTTTTCTATTTATAAACATTGAAAATGATAAAGATCATTCATTGATGAGTCCCAGAGTAAGGTGTCCATGTCCTTCCTGTGTCAGTGGGCTCAGGCTGTGTGGCTCAAACACAGAAATTATTTTTCACAGTCTGGATGTTAGAAGCACATGGTCAAGTTATGGGCAGGTGGATTTCCCTAGAGGCTTCTCTCCTTGCTTGCAGATGGCTACCTTCTTCCTTGTCCTCATGCTCTGTCCCTAAGGGCCATCCTACCAGCATCATCTTAACATTGCATCATCATCATCATTATTTTTTATTTTTTTATTTTTTTTGTTGGTCATGGGGCTTGAACTCTGGGCTTAGGCGCTGTTCCTCAGCTCTTCAGCTCAAGGCAAGTGCTCTACCGCTTGAGCCACAGCACCACTTCCGGTTTTCTGGTGGTTTATTGGAGATAAGAGTCTCACAGACTTTCCTTGCCCAGGCTGGCTTTGAACCGAGATCCTCAGATCTCAGCCTAGGATTACAAGCATGAGCCACCAGCTTCGGGCTTATTATCATTATTCTTATTGTTATTATTTCTTGGGAATGTGCCGGTACTAGGGTTTGAAATCAGGGCCTGGGCACTGTCCCTTAGCTTTTTCACTCAAGGCTGGTGCTCTATCACTTAAGCCGCAGCTCCACTTCCAGCTTTTTTGATGGCTAATTGGAGAAAAGAGTTTCATGGACTTTACTCACCAGACTGGCTTAGACCCCATCCAGATCCTCAGATCTCAGCTTCCCGAGTAGTTGTCATTACAGGTGTTGGCCACTGGTGCCTGGAAACCAGTACTCCTCTAAAGACCTTGGGTCCACATGTGATTGTACGGTGAGGTTTCCCGGCATGGAGTGTCAGCATACAGACTGGGGGAGAGGGACAGTTGGGCCCTAAAACTCCCAGTGCAGATGATTTCTCCAGGCCACTGCTCACACTGCCCACCCTCTCTTCTCTGCCCCAGGGCCTGTGGATGGCCAGCAGCTGAGCCAGCAGACACAGCTTTTCTCCTTGAGCGAGTCTCTATCTGTGCTCCCTCCTCTGACAAGCCCCTAGTCAAGGACCTCAGCCTGAAGATCTGTGAGGGGCAGAGCCTCCTCATCATGGGCAACACGGGCACTGGCAAGACTTCCTTGCTGCGGGTTCTGGGCGGCCTGTGGGACAGCACAAAGGGTGAGAGCTAGGTCCTCCCTGCCTGTGGCCCAGCCTTGCCAGGAGTGGGTGGGTAATGTGAACTCTGGCCTTTCTTGGCCCAGGAAAGAGGATGAGAGGCAGAGGGGAGAGGCAGTTACAGTCTCTGTGAGGTCTCAGAATGGAGCTTGTGTGGGCTTTGCAGGCTCTGTGCAGATGCTGACCGACTTTGGGCCCCACGGGGTGCTGTTCCTGCCTCAGAAGCCCTTCTTCACTGATGGGACGCTTCGGGAGCAGGTCAGTAGTACAAGGCTCAGTCCTCCTTTCTCACCTCCACACACCCCCCACCCCCCACCTGGGCCCCCTAGCAGTGTGACAGGCCTCAGGCCCTAGGGGTAATGAAGGGGCCATGCCTGGGACTCCTGGGTTTAAGACCATTGTATGCTACATTCATGGTTGTATGCTACATTCATGGATCATAGTCATGGACATGTGACAATGGAACCATGGGCCAGTGGAGAGGAGCCTGCTTCTTTGGGCAGTGTCTGAGGGGGAGGAAGCTGTGTACACCTGTCTCAGCCTTCTAGACCAGTTTGGATTTTGTTTTCAGGTGATATATCCCCTGAAGGAGATCTACCCTGACTCAGGTGAGCTGGGACTCCTCAGGTCATGACATCTCAGTTGTCCTTGCTCTGCCAGCCTGTGGCCTCACCTGTGCCTGTGGAAGAGGCTCCAGCCAGGCTGCTTGCTTCATATCGGGTCTCCTCTGTTAATTGTTCACTGTTTGGGGGACTGACCTATGATCCATTTGTTCTGACTTCCCTTCCTGAATAGAGACACTTGTTGGAGGAAGGGAAATGATTGGTTTTTGGTATGTATGTGTGTATCTGTCGTCCACCTGTCCATCTGTCTGTCCTGGAGCTTGAACTCAGGTCCTGGCCACTCTCCCTTAGCTTGTTTTGATCAAGGCTGATCTCAGCCACTTGAGCCATATACCCACTTCTCACTTTTTGCTGGATAATTGGATACAAGAGTCTCACATACTTTTCTGCCCAGGCTTCTTCAAGCTGTGATCCTCAGATTTTAGCCTGCTGAGTAGCTAGGATTGCAAGTGAGAGCTGCTGGTGGCTTCTTTTACTAACTTCCCTGTTATTTACGCCTACCTGTCAGCCAGCCCAGCATACTGGTGTATCTAGCCTGCCAGCATGTCCAAATCTATTCCAGCCAGCCAGAAGAACTGATGGGCTGAAGAAGCCTCTGTTTTTCAGGTTCTGCTGATGATGAGAGGATCATGAGGTTCTTGGAGCTGGCAGGCCTGGTAAGTGGGACAGAGCCCCTGAAGACCCAGCCCACAGTGAGGTACTGGCCCAACAGCAAGGCCCTGCCATCTCTGGATCCAGGACAGGGGCAAAGAATGGGAGTACAAATTGACAGGGAGGCAGACACAGGAAAGAAGAGAATTTAAAACAAAACTGACTGGGTTAGACGTGTGGCTAAGTGTTAGAGTGCTTGCTTAGCACGCATAGAGCCCTGGGTTTGATTCCTCAGTATCACATAAACAGAAAAAGCCAGAAGTGGCACTGTGGCTCAAATGGTAGAGTACTAGCCTTGAGCAAAAGAAGCTCAGGGACAGTGTCCAGGCCCTGAGTTCAAGCCCTAGGACTCGCAAACAAAAAGACACACACACGCACACGCACGTACTCACGCACGCCCTGACTGAACCAGTCTGCTTTTTCTGTCATGGTGTGATAGTCTCAGCACTGTAGTTGGCAGCCCCACCTTGATGTGCTGCGATAGTGAGAAACGCTTACATTGTGGAGACTGGATGGCAGGAAGCAGCAATGCGCATTGTCATGGACCTCTTGCTCTCTGGGTCTGTTACAGTCCAGCTTGGTGGCAAGGACAGAGGGTCTGGACCAGCAGGTGGATTGGAACTGGTAAGAATGGAGTTGGAGGTTCTCCAACCAGCTCCCTCCACGACAGCCATCAGTGCAGGGATCCCGTGAAGGGGTAGAATGGCTCCTGATGGCCAGATGTTTGGCTAGGCCATCTTCTGTGCCTTAGGAGTGGGATTTGGTGTGGATAGTAGGGCTGTGAGTGAGAAGGCGCCTCTGTCCTGGGCCCCTGCAGAAAACAGCTCCCTGCCCAAACCCATTCTTGGCAAAAGCCAAGCTGTCACCTCCTTTCAGGGTTCTCTCGTTTCCTTTCCTAGGTATGATGTCCTGTCCCCAGGGGAGATGCAGAGGCTTTCCTTTGCACGGCTCTTCTACCTGCAGCCAAAGTATGCAGGTGAGGTCTGCCCCACAGACACATACCAGGTACAGCAGTGTGTGTTCACAGCATGTAGGCCTTTCTGGGTATGTCTGAGCATCTCTGTGCCCTCCTCCTGTAAAGAACAGTGCCTCACAGTTCAGGGCAGACCTAGGGGTGTCACACCATTTCATAAGCTTCTTGCCAAGGCACAGCTGGAGTGGGGAGCAAGCCTTAGTTGAAGGACTATGATTGTAGCTCCTCAAGCTCTGCCATCAAATGAGTGGCCGTGCCTGGCTGCAGGGTAGCAGGTGTGGGCTCTTCCCGGGACACATCTTTGGGGAGCTACCTGAATTTCACAGACCCAGGGAGCTGTGGCACTTAGTAACTAGGAAGCTGAGAATCTTGGGCTGGTGCTCAAAGATACATACTCTCAGCTCCCTTGGCCCATATCCCCGTGCCAGGTTCTTATAAGTCAGAGCAGCGGTAGCCTCTTCTGGGGCCCGGGTGGAGGGTGATTGTGGTGGCAGGACAGCAACAACTGCTGGGATCAAGGGCAGGACCTTGATTTTATCCCTTCCCTCAGTGCTGGATGAAGCTACCAGCGCCCTGACAGAGGAGGTGGAGAGTGAGCTCTACCGAATTGGCCAGCAGCTAGGGATGACATTCATCAGCGTGGGACATCGACCCAACCTGGAGAAGGTACAAGCATGGCCTGAGGAGGGAGAAGAGCCTAAAGTCTAGGCCTGGCCAGAGCCAGAGGCCCCTTTCCCTGAGGAGAGGGTGGCAGAGGAAGCCTCCTGATCCCTGTGTGGTGGTCTCTCGTAGTTTCACTCCTGGGTTCTGAAACTCTATGGAGGAGGAAGATGGGAACTGACTAGAATCAAAGTGGAATGAAGTCAAAGGCGGGGATGGACACCAGAGGAGAGCCGAACTCTGGGCAGACCAGCAGCCCCCCAGGGGAGACCAGGAAGAGCCCCAGGTTTGCCTCATGGGTCCTGTGCTGGAGCCCTGGCAGCAGCTGGCTCAGCCCAGGGGGGGCCCTACGGGGAACACGGGAGTCTGTCTCCACAGGGCTGCTTCTGTGGCGCCAGCAGGGCCTCTGCTGGAAGTGCTGATTGCTTACAAATGAATTCAGATCATGATGGCTGAGAAATACCTGAGTGTACCCAGTGTAAGACATGAGGGGTCAAGGCGGGAAGGGCCATGGACCTGGAGTGAAGACAGCCAGTTAAATTTTATGATGATAGATTTTTAACTTTATAATTAACTGACCATTTAAATTTTATAACTTTTTCTAGAAAGAAAAGTTAAACATTAAAAGTGTTTTTTTGCAACTTTTGCTCCTTATTTTCTCTACTATAGCGTTACCTCCTCTTTTCTCCTGTATATAGCCCAGGCCCATCTCAACCCTTGATCCTTCTTGGATCCTTCTGTCTCAGCTTCCTTAGTGTTGGGATTACAGGCATTTGCCACCATGTCCAGCACTGTGGAGAGGAGAGCTGCCTTTCACTGCCCTGGGACCTAATTCAGTTTTACACTCTGTACATGTCTCCCCTTCCATGAATCAATACTGGATCCAATAACCTGTAGGGCCCCTTGTGTCTGTCTGTCTTTCTTTCCTTCCTTCTTTATTATTTCTTTCATTTATTTGCCATGCTGGGGTTGGAACTCAGGGTTTTGCACTTGCTAAGCAGGTGCTTTACCACTTGAGCCATGACCCTGTCCTCTGGTTGCTATCTTAACACAGCTGAAAATCCTCTTTCCTAGACCAGCTAAAAGATTTGGACTTCGCAAAAAATAATCTGTATTAAGGAAGAACAACTATAAATTAAGTGACTGTGATTCATACCTATAATCCCTGTACTCTGGAGACTGAAGCAGAAGGATTAGGAGATTGAGGCCAGCATGGGCCATGTAGCAAGACCATGTCTCCAAAATTAAATGGGAAAACCCCAGAAATCACAAAACCATGAAGTAGGTTTTTGAGCCCAGAGTCCTTATTCTAAAACAGGGTTCCCAAATTATAGTTGTCTGTATCACTTTCATGATTTTTGCTAGATTTCTACACTGCTTAAACTGGATTTACCTAATATTAAAAGCAAAACACAGCAAACAACAAAAACCGCTAACTCAGACACAGTGTTTGCCTGTAGTCCCAGCTACCCGGAAAGCTGAAGGATCAGGTGAGTCCAGCCAACTGAATCTAGGAAGCCTGGGCCAGAAAACAGAAACTATAACATAAATTAACATTTTTTTATTAAAAATATATGTTTGAGGGCTGGGAAGGTGGCTCAGTGGTAGAGCACTTGCCTTGCATGCATGAGGCCCTGGGTTTGATTCCTCAGCTGAAGCCTGAGAATCCCAGTTCAAAGTCTACTAATGCAGACAATCTGTAGACTCTTCTCTCCAATGAACTAGTAAAGAAAAGCTGGAAGTGGAGGCAGGTAGCTTTAGTGGTAGAGAGCCAGCCTTGAGCAACACAAAGAAAAAAACCCTAAGGAAGAGCACAAGGTAGTGAGTGCAAGCCTCAGAACCAGCACAGAAAAATCTCAGATTTGTCTGCCCATGATGATTTCCCCGATCCTCAGATCTCAGCCTGTGCCTCACCTGCAGGGGAGTTGAGCTAGGGCCCAACAGCTCCCCTGGGAGCAGGAAAACACTCCCAGATGACGGTAAGCTGGGGGTACAATTAACTTAGGTGGGGCTGGGAACGTAGTTCAGTGGTAGAGTGCTCGCTTGCCTTGCATGCATGAGGCCCTGGTTCGTTTCCTCAGCACCACGTAAAGTAGAAAAAATCCAGAAGTGGCGCTGTGGCTCTAGTGGTAAGAGCACTAGCCTTGAGCTGAAGAGCTGAGGGACAGCGCCCAGGCCCAGAGTTCAGCCCCCATGCCGGCAAAAAAAAACCCCAAAACACAAAAAAGAACCATGGGCGGCTGCAGAGGCCAGCAGGGAGCGGGGAATAGGTTCTAGCAATCGTGCCAAGTCCCTGTTTGGCAGGGGTTGGACGTCCCCTCCATCATCACCTCCACTTGCCACTCTTCCACCCTAGCTGGCCTTATCTATCCCTGCCAGGCCTGCACAGCAGCTCTGGTAGCCTGAGTCAATCAGCCCTCCCTGCCCGCCTATGTCTCCCTTGCTCTTCCTGGTGTAGACAGCCATCTACAGGCAGCCCTAGGCATCTGCAGCCTGGAATGTAATCCCTTTCCAAGGGGCATTACATTCCAGAGTTTGAGAGACAAGCAGAATCCACATGTGGTTGCCTCACCAACTACACAGGATTTCTCTTTGTTCTGCCCTGATTCCTAGCTGTTCAGGCCTTCCCTTCCTGTCTAGTCCAGTCTCTTGGCTTGACTGTGGTCTGTGTGCATTGCCCTCCACAGACAGTAGACAATAGCTGTTTCTTCCTCTGGGGGAAGAATTTCTAGCATCTCTCAAGTTTCTAAGTGTCCCTAGTTGTTCCCTAGATCCACCTGGGCCTGGGCTAGCTGCACCCTTGGACCTAAAGAGCCTGCTTTGGCATAGCATCTTCCTTTGTGTCTAATGCTGCCTTTCTCTGTGTCCTTTCTTTCTTCTGGCATTGAGAATGGCAGAGCCAGGTGCCAGTGGCTCACCCCTGTAATCCTAGATATTCAGGAGGTTGAGATCTGAGGATCGTGGTTCAAAGCCAGACCAGACAGGAAAGTCCATGAGACTCTTATTGCCAGTTAACCACCAAAAAGCTGGAACTGGTGCTGTGGCTCAAGTGGTAGAGTGCTAGCCTTGCTAGCCTTGAGCAAAAAAAGATCAGAGACAGGAACAATTCAAGCCCTAAGAAGGGCTCAGAAAGAAAAAAAAAAAAAGCAAGAAAAAAGGCCAGAAGTGGAAGTATGGCTCAAATGGTAGAACACCAGCTATGAGCAGAAAAAGATGAGTAAGAGTAGGTCCTGAGTTCAAGCCTCATTACTGGCACAAACAGCCAAACAAAATTTAGGAGGCTGGAGAAAAAGGCTCCAAAATTCAGTATTTGGAACTAAGTCCCAGGGATGTAATAGATTACCCTATTAGCAATTACCATATTAGATGTTCTCTTTGTCCCTTATATCATGCCCTTGAAATTTTCTATTTTATTTGTGTAGTAACCAGAATTCTGTCTCTTCCCCCAGTCTCTAAGTTCCAGGACAAAAAGAACTGAAGTTGCTCTGCCTACTACAATCTTCCCCACTGCCGGACCTCAGAGATAGGAATTCCGTGCCAGTATTTATATACCAGATTTCATACATGGGCTGGAAGCATAGCTCCAGTTGTAGAAGCTCTGAGTTCAAACCCCAGTACTGAAAAAAAATTATATGTTAAATGTTTGGTAAATGTTAAAATTGTTGAGTAGTTAGGTAAATTATAGACAGAACATTCAACACGGGCTGAATAGCAGGCCCTTTGATGCATCCTAAAGGGTTATATGATATAAACCCACCTTCAAAGAAATTGATCTTGTGGAGAAAATGAAAATGAAACACTTTTTTTTTGTGACAGTCCTGGGGCTTGAACTCAGAGCCTGGGCACTGTCCCTGAGCTGCTTTTTTCCTCAAGGCTAGCACTCTACCACTTAAGCCACAGCACCACTTCTGGATTTTTCGGTTTATGTGATACAGAGGAATCGAAATGAGGACTTCATGCATGCTAGGCAAGCACTCTACCACTAAGTCACATTCCCAGCCCCCAAAATACTTCTTGTAGAGTTAGGGGCATGGTTCAAGTGGTAGAGTACCAGCCCAGCAAGTAAGCCCAACTAATAAGCTCTGAGTTCAAACCTCAGTACAGGAACACACACACACACACACACACACACACACACACACACTCCTTCCTACAGGAAGGACATTTTTGTTTCTTGAAGGGGCTGGGTGAGCAGGGGTGAGCTTACCTGAGCCCTGAAGGGGCCTGGCACACTCAGGCAACCCTTGCAGACAGGTTGAATCTTGTCCTGTTACTACCAGGGACTAGAGTCTCCATATGTGACCCTCGGCTCCCAGGTGCACACAGGACACTGCAGACCTCCTGTCAATCTCCTTGATTGGCGGCTAGAAACCTCTCTGCCAGGGAGGCCACAGCTGAGCCTATTTGAAACCATTTTAGATTTCTTTTTTCTTTCTTTTCTTTCTTTTTTTTTTTGACCTAGAAGCTCACATTCAACCTATCCAGCCTTCTCACTGACTCTCTCATCTTGCAATTCCAGCCAACACATCATCAAGCCATGCTCACAGCTGTCTGAAGACAATTTCACACAGCCTTCCTCAAGCTCTCTTTCCCTCTCTGACAGGGATTTAGCATAATCTGACTGTCAGTTCCAGACAGGGTCACCTTGCCTGGGTGTTGTTAATTTGATGGAAGGTAAGGTGTGCCAAGGTGAGCTGTTGGCTTCGTGAGAGGTATGGAGTAAGCAGCGTTGATGGTAAGGAAGTATCAGAGAGAAAGGTTAATGTAATCTACTGGGCGACGCTTGGGTTTTGTGTCTGGGAGGGTTTTGTTGGACCTTCGTTGGAAGTGACAGATGCCATGAAAAGGTGACATCAGTTCGGCCAAGTGAGGTAGGCTGTTGGTTCTTCAGCATTTGGAATACTTTTAAAAGAAGAACCTAGTTTTGACCTCTTTGTGGACTTACTTTATTTTTTTTTATTTCTTATATTTATTTATTTTTGTCAGTCATGGGGCCTGAACTCTGGGTCTGGGCGCTTTCCTCAGCTCTTCAGCTCAAGGCTAGCGCTCTACCACTGGAGCCACATTACTACTTCTAGCTTTTTCTGCTTATGTGGTGTTGAGGAATCGAACCCAGGGCCTCATGCATGCAAGGCAAGCACTCTACCACTGAGCCACCTTCCCAGCCCCTGTGGACTTACTTTATTGAGGGTTGGTTTTGTTGTTACTGGGGGTGGGGTTTTTATTGTTTTGTTGTTGTTGTTGTTTTTGTCAGTGGAGGATCTTGAACTCTGGGCTTGGGTGCTGTCCCTGAGCTCTTCAGCTCAAGGTGAGCGCTCTACCACTTGAACCACAGCGCCACTTCCAGTTTTCTGGTGGTTAATTGGAGATGAGTTTCACAGATGTGACGTTCCTTCCCCCGGCTGGCTTGGAACTGTGATCCTTAGATCTTGGCCTCCTAAGTAGCTAGGATTACAAGGGTGAGCCACCAGCACCCAGCTTGATTTTTTTTTTTTTTTTTTTTTTTGCTGGCCCTAGTGCTTGAACACAGGACCTGGTCCCTGAGCTTCTTTTGCCCAAAGGGTCTACCATTTGAGCCACAGTTACATTTTGGGCTTTTTTGGTAGTTTATTGGAGATTAGGAATCTCAAAAGTCTTTTCTGCCTGAGCTGACTTTGAATTGTGATTCTCAGATCTCAATAGCTAGGATTACAGGCATGAGCATTGGCTTTTGAGTGATTTTGTTTTTGTTTTGCCGGTCATGGGGCTTGAACTCTGGGCATGGGTGCTGTCCCTGGACTTCTTTTTGCTCAAGGCTAGCATTGTATCATATAAGCCACTGCACCACTTTTGGCTTTTTCTGTGATTTATTGGAGTTAAGAGTTTCATGAATTTTTCTTGCCTGAATTGGCTTCGAACCATGATCCTCAGATCTCAGCCTCCTGAGTAACTAGGATTATAGGCATGAACCACTGGCATCTGGCCTTTTTTGTTGTTGTTATTTGAGTTGGGTCTCATTATATAATCCAGATTGCCAGGTAATCTTCCTTCCTCAGCCTCCCAAGGGTTGGGATTACAGGCATGTACACCCAGCCTGTGGCTTTACTCAGTATGCTACCTAATCAAACATCCTCCCAGCTGTTTTTACATCAATTTTATTTTCACTTGTATCTTTACAGAAAATGGCACAGAGATCACAGATTTAGAATACCTAGAAGTTCCATATTTCAAACACCTTAATATCAAGTTTCTTCTCACTCTATGTACATTATTTACACACAAAGGCTACAGTCTAACATTTCAAACCAACAGAGGAAAAAGACAAGACCTTGGGGGAAGGGACTCCATGATGGAATGAAGAAGAAATCAACTTTCAATACAGAATGAAAACTGCAACTCATTGTTTCTGGCCTTTCTCTTGTGTGGTATTCCCTACAAACATAGATGGAATGGCAGAATGGGCATGAGGCCTGGGATTACAGATCCCCCAGGTTCCATAACGCTACCTGTGTCCGTTACACAAAAGGTAGAGACAAGTGGAAGGGCAGCTGCAGAGAAGCTATTGGCACGGACAGGCCCACTCTAAAATAGACAAGTCCTACTTTCTTAGCTCCTGAGGATGTCTTGTGGTAGTGGCATGCTCTCAGTATTCACCTGCCATGGAGAAGTACCTCCAGCTTACTGTGTGGATTTAGTGCTGACCTCCTGCCTTGTTATTCATTTATCACTCCCATACTGGGGCTTGAACTCAGGGCCTGGGCACTGTCCCTTAGCTTTTTTGCTCAAGTCTGGCACTCCACCACTGGAAACATACTTCTGGCTTTTTGGTGGTTAATTGGAGATAAGTCTCATGAGCTTTTCTGCCCAGACTGGCTTAGAACCACAATTCTCAGTTCGCATCCTCCTGAGTAGCTGAGCCACCATGGTGTAGAGAGACTTGCTTTCTTTTGAGCCTTTTCCTATACCCAACTTGTGCTTTTCCTTTGATGAAGATTATAGCCCAGGCCCACTGCAGAGCTGGCTTCTCAGGGATGCCTGGGTCAAGTTGAAGCTAGACGTGTGACTTCCTGGCTGCAGTGGCAGGTACATGCAAACCAGTCGTGTACAAGAAACTCTGATGGAAGGGGACTTTGCACAGCAAGTCAAGGTCACAGGCAGCACAGGGTCAGGGAGGCCTAGGGTCCCAAGGACTCCAGATAGAGGCCCTCCCTTCCCCCACCAAGCAGTGCATTGAGCCAGAGCAGTAGTAAGATGTGCCCCTCCATGCAGGGCATGGGGACTGGCCCACATGTGTTGTTGACATCTGGACTGGGGAAGAGCCACAGGCAAGCTGGACATAGAGAGGGCAGGTTCCCAAGGGCTTGGCATGAGACAGGAGTCCAGGGGGGCCAGCCTGAGACTTGGCAAATTTAATCTGGATGCCAACAGGGCAGGGCAGAGGTTGCACAAGTTGTGTGTGGGTCTGTAAAGCACTATATTCTTGAAGCAGGTACCCAGACCCAGGTCGGCGGGAAGGGTAGGCCAAGGGTCGGGGAAGACTGGCTGAGAACTGAGGTGCTCGGGACATTGGAACCTGAGCGCAGGTCCTCAATTGGTGTCAAGGGCTGTAGCAGGCCGTGTGTTTGCTACAGGCTTTGGACATGACCCCAAGTGGATTGGGAAGGAGGGTTCTCTAGAGCCAGAGCACAGCATCAGGGGTGGACTGGAGCAGCGAGAGTGGCTAAGGGGTTGGGTGCCAGGGACTTGAGGAGATGGTTGGGAAGCAAGAAGGCTTCCGAGGTGTGATGCTGGGAGGAGGAGGGGCATGCTTGAGCGTCAGGACTAGGTCCAGGACATCTCAGTATGGCCCAAAGCTCCAGCCAGAACTGACCTGTACCTAGAATGGACAGGGGTCATGGAAGGCCTGTAGGACAGGGTAGTATGGCAGAAGCCAGGCCTGGTCCTGCCTGGAGCAAACTGGGCACCACAGGTCCCAGGAGGAACAGAGTCTTGGGGCTCCAGAGCCCCTTTGTGCCCCTTTGATCTAAGCCATGTCCTCCAGCTGCGGTGGATCGAGCTTCTCAGCTGGCCTATCTTCATCCATGGCTTCCTCTTCCTCTGGCTTCTCGGTGTTCCGGACCAGGCTGTCTGGCCCAGGCACAGTCCCCAGCACCTTGGTGCTGTGCTCCTGAGCTTTGGCTCGGAGTGCCGCGATGCTGTTTTCCCTCAGTTCCTCCTGGGAGATGGCCACCTGGACGTCGGGGCCCCGCTCCTCCTGCTCCATCTTGTCAAGCTTGGGCAGGGCCTGGCGTTCCACCTCGGGTTTCCTCCCCGACTCAGCTGCTGCCTCCAGCGACTTTTTGTGCATCCCTAAAAAGAATTGTTGGTATTCGGGTTTAGAAAAGCGCCTGGGAAAGCCATCTTGAACTGAAAACAGCAAAGATAGAGAGAGGCCAGAATTAAGGACGAGCAGAAAGCCTTAGGTCACATCCTACAGTCACACGAGTCCCAGGGCTGGGCTGGGGTCAGGGAGCAAGGGAGGATGGCTGAGAGGGCTGAGGTTGAAGGCCAAGAGCCAGAACCAGGCCTGAAGAATACAAAACCCTTGGGTACCTTCCCCAGGCTCCAGCCTGTTATCCCTTCAGAGCACAGAACATATTCTCCACCCTTCTGGGCTGGGATTCTAGACCTTAACCCCCCCTACCCCCACCCCAGGAGGCTGCAACTCTTAGACATAAGCCCAGATGGCAGGTAGGGGAAGATGGCAAGGGAAGAGAATGGGGAGAAAGAGTCGTTTGGGCAGAGCTAAAGTGGTGGCCAAAGGGACCTTTAGGTCCCCTCAACCTTGAAGGTGGGCTGTTTCATTCACTATAAACCCCCAAGGGCCAAGGAGAATGGAGGTGAGGATTCTAGAGCCACAGCCACACCCGCCTCACAGGATTCAGAGTCCTGTCCAGGATGAGTTCTTGGTACACAGGAAGGAGGTGTGAGGGACAGACACCCTGCCTGCGTCCTCAGGGGAGAAGGGAGGCCCACGTGGAGAGTCCTAGGCTGCTGCGGCCAGGTCTCCTAGCCCAGACTCCAGGTCTGTCCCCACCTGCAGGGATCCCACTCTCCTCACTGCAGGGGCAGGCCCCCAAGGAGGGTGCCGGCTCTTACCCAGTAGCCACGGGGCACAGGAGTCCATGATGCCATCCTTGGCTGACTTGAGGATGGACTCGGGCAGGGGGATGGAGTGCCGCACCATGGCCCCGTACAGCCCGTATTCTGCCATGACACTGCTCCGGCCCCAGCATTTCTCTCTCTTCCTCCACTTGGCTCTGCGGTTCTGGAACCAGACCTGCCAGTGCAGAGGAGTGGGTCAGGGGTCAGGGGTCAAGGGGCAGGGCTGGGCTCTGAGAAGCTCTGGGATGGAGGGAGATCCTTTCCTAGTGGTCTAAGATGTCCTAAGCCTAGCTTCCCCATCCCTGGTGTCCCCAACGCTCCTCAAGTTCAGGGAGTATCTACGAGGATATCAAGTCCTGTAAGAATACAGTGAGCAAGCTGGGTGCTGGTATCCTGTGCCTGTAATCCTCCCTACTCAGGAGGCTGAGATTTGTGGGTCCCAGTTCAAAGTCAGCCTCCGCAGGAAAGTCTGTGGGATTCCAGTTAACCGGCAAAAAGCCAGAGGTGCAGCTGTAGCTCAAGTGGTAGAATGTTAGCTCTGAGTTCAAACCCCAGCACTGGCACAAAACCAAACCAAAACAAAAAAATGGGTCTCTTTTTTGTTTATAATCAAAGCAGATCTAGGGAGTTGGGCTGGGGGAAGCGGCTGGGACAGGACGTCCTTCCGTCCTTCCGGGAGTGGTTCTAAGCTTACAGCTTAGTGGTTCTAAGCTTACAGCTGGGAAACCTGAGCCTGACAGCTTGCAGATACTCACACCTCCTGAGTGTAAACTGAAGGTGATACAGATTTAAAAAAAGACAAATGCCGGAGTCCCTGTCTGGCAGTGCGTCTAGCTCAGGCTCCTTCTTTTCAGAGGCGTCCAGGAAAGCTTGGGGAACCGGGAAGCTCCTGGCAGTGGACATTCTTGGGGCCAGGGAGTAGGGAGGAGAACCTTTTCCTGGAGGCCAGAATCAGCCTCCTTTCTCATCCCCTCCTGTTCCAGCTGCGTCCTGCCCAGCTGCTTTGCCTCCATGTTCCGGCAGTCACGGAAGGAAGCCGAACTTCTCCAGGCATTAGGTGCAAAGGAGAAGGAGGACCTTGGAGGGGTGGGGGTGGGGTGGGAGAGATAGGCAATACCCTGGGGAATACTGGGGGGGAGGGGAGGGGGGAAAGGGGAGGGTGCTGAGCTGATGAGTTCAGAGTCAGAACGAGCCTCGGGTCGCAGGGAGGGGGCAGGTCTGTGTTTCTTGGAAGAGATCTCAAGATTGGTTTGCGTAAGGAAGATTTCCTGATCTCCAGAAGCAGTTTTCCTGAGACTTCAGCATCTGACAGACAGGGAATTTCCTGGTCTCTCAGAAGGGAAGGAACCCCAGGTCCTTGTCTCTTCAGGTCCAAGGAGACCAGAGGACAAAGCCTCCTGGGGGATGGGGTGAGGTTGGGGGATCAGAAAGAGGCGGGGCTGGGGAAAAGCCATCCCTTTCCTGGGTGATTTTCCATCCCTGCGGCCCCCCTTTCCCTCAGGGCCCCCCTTTCTCTCCAGGGGCCCCCCTCCCTCCAGGCCCCTCCCCAGCCCGGCGCAGCTCAGCCGAGGTATCAGCTTTTGATGAAAAATTGCTCCAGCTCTATTCAGGAGGCGGCAAAAGAAGAGTCACCCCCAGGGGCAGCCCTGGGCTGATTGAAAAATAAGTTAATTTCAGTTTGAATCGATGGGCCTCAGGCACTGAAATATCACGGGAAATTAAAGCGGCCGCTCTCCCGGGAGCCGCGGCATTGACCCGCACTAATTAATGCTGGGGCGGCCGCGCTCGCCCCGCCGCGAGCCGCCTCCCCCTCCCCGGGGGACCCCAAACACTTCTCATTTAACTAATTAGACGGGGAAAATTGGGTGTTAATTTGTTTAGGATTTTTCCTCCCCTCCCCCCCCCGCAGCTCCCTCCCCCTCCCCCACCCCGGCCCCCGCACCGGGGGCGCGGAAATGAATGCGGGGCTCGCTGGCAGATGGCTGCCCCGGTCACTGCAATCTTCTCCGACTTGATTGCTTGATTAGGTCGTTAGCACATTAAAAAAAAAAAATTGCTCGCCGTCTGGCGCTGGCGTGATGAGTGGGACGCGCGGCAGCGCCTGGGTAATTTATCTTTTTATACGGCAAAGAATTTGATTTCAATCTGCAGATATATGGGGCGCCTTTGACACCTGTTTAACATCGCGCTGCTGACAGCTTAACCCTTTGCTGCCGGGCAGCCTAAACTGGAGTTCCCCGGGCGGGGTGGGGGGGGTCGGGAGAGGGAGGGCGGCGCCATCCATGCGGTTCCCGCCGCCGCCGCCAGGTGGCGCAGCGAACGCCAGGTGCCCCACGGCCACTGGAGTCGGCGGCCGAGCAAGGCCAGCCACGTCCGGTAGGGGGCGCCCCGGGGAGGCCCCCTAAGCAGCCAAGCGGCCACAGGGACGCTTGCTCGGGGCCCAGCACAGAAAGACTGGCCAGTCCACGCACATCCTTAACTTGACCCAAATGTCGGTATCCCTGGTTTGGCATTTATTCCTAAAAATGGAACTGACACTGCATCGGACTCCCGGGGCCTCTCTGCCTGCACAGTGGCCAGCGCTGTTAGAAAGCGTTTGCCACTTTGGCACCTGCAGGTCCAAGATGGCTCATAGAACCAAGATGCTGGGAAGCCTGACCCTGCCAAGGATAAGGCTTTTATAATCTGAAGGCCACTAGATGGCTGCCCTCCATACACTATGGAGTGGACAGCCTTCTCGGTCTTCATCTTGGCCTGGTCCTCCCAGGCGTTTAAGTGATCCCAGGGCCGCCTATGAGGTCTACAGGGTGAATGTCCACTATCTGCCCTACCTAGGACACGTGGTTAGTCTGGGACCGCTGTCTTGTTCCATTTCCATCCTGTTAGCATTTGGTCCCCCTCTACACTTGCTTCAAGTTGCTTTCTCCCAGAGGCAAAATCTAAAAGGATCCATCCATATACAAGGGCATCCGTTATATAGATTAGAATGCCTCCTATGGAATTCCAGATACCAAGAATATGAATATAACCAAGCCACCTGCTCCCTAGTTATGCAAAAGCGTGTCAAGCTTGACTACAGTGCATAGTAGCACATCAAAGTGACAGCCTCTTACCAACAATCCCTGGGGCAAGATAGGAAGATGTCTCTGGTTTTAGAAACGCCTATGATACATATACTACATGGTACATGGCCTGGAACAGCAGCAGCCTCTTATAATCACACCCTTTAACAAAACATATACATACACTAAGAGAGCTAACTAAATTGCACATGGTCTGGTCTGACTTTTGCCACCATATGAATTTTCAGCCATATTTAAGAAAACATTTTCCAGTCTGGGAAAGTGGCACAATGGTAGAGTGCTTGCCTTGCATACATGAGGTCCTTAACACCACATAAGCAGAAAAAGCCATAAGTGGCACTGTGGCTCAAGTGGTAGAGTGCTAGCCTTAAGCTAAAGAGCTGAGGGACAGTGCCCAGGCCTAGAGTTCAGGCCTCACAACCAGCAAAACAAAACAAAACAAAACAAAAACATTTTCCATGCAGTTTGGATTTAGGAATCCTGAAGAAGGTGCTGATTGTGGAGTATAAAAATACAGAAAATAGAAAAAAAAATAGGGCTAGGAATGTGGTTTAATGGTAGAGTGCTTGCCTAACATGCATGAAACCCTGGGTTTGATTCCTCAGTCCCACATACACAGAAAAAGCCAGAAGTGGCGCTGTGGCTCAAGTGATAGAGTGCTAGCCTTGAGCAAAAGAAGTTCAGGGACAGTGCCCAGGCCTTGAGTTCAAGCCCCAGGACTAGCAAAACATACAGACACATACACACAGACACACACACATACAGAGCAGCTCAGGGACAGTGTCCAGGCCCTGAGTTCAAGCCCCAGGACTGGCAAAAAAAAAGTACAGAAAATAGCCTGGGGCCTGGGAAGGTGGCTCAGTGTTAGAGTGCTTGCCTTGCATGCACAAGGCCCTGGGTTCAATTCCTCAGCACCACATAAGCAGAAAAGGCTTGAAGTGGCACCGTGACTCAAGTGGTAGAGCTCTAGCCTTGAGCTGAAGAGCTGACAGAGCCCAGGGACAGAGTTCAGGTCCCACAACCGACAAAACAAAACAAAAAAACAACCAGAAAATAGCCTGATGCTGGTGGCTCATTCCTATAATCCTAGGCTACTCAGGAGGCTGAGACCTGAGGATCATGGTTCAAAGCCAGCCTGGGCAGGGTAGTCCATTAGACTTTTATCCACAAAAAACTTTTAACCACAAAAAAACAGAAGTGGCCCTGTGGCTCAACGTGGTAGAGCACTAGCCTTGAGAGAAAAAAAAAAAAACCAACCCTCAGGGACAGTGCCTAAGCCAGAGTTCAAGCCCCAGGACTAGCAATACTACTACTACTACTACTAGTACTAGTACTGCTACAGAAATGCTCAGCATTGGTGGTTACACCTATAATCCTACTTACTCAAGAAATCTGAGGTCTGAGGATCATGGTTCAATACCAGCTTGGGCAGGAAAGTCTATGAGACTTGTCTCCAATTAACCACCAAAAAACTGGAAGTAGAGATGTAACTCAAGTGGTAGAGCACTAGCTTTGAGCAAATAAGCTAAGGAACAGTGCCCTGGCCCTGAGTTCAAGCCCCAGTACCAGTGTGCATGCACACGTGCACACGTGTGTGTGTGCGCATGCACACACACACACACACACACACACACACACTATAGAAATAGCCAGGCTCACGCCTGTAATCCTAGCTACTCAGGAGGCTGAGATTTGAGGGTTGTAATTTAAAGCCAGTTGAGGTAGAAAAGTATCTTTTTTTTTTTTTTGTGAATAGAAAAGTATCTCTTTTTTGGGGGGTCTGGTCGTGGGGCCTGAACTCTGGGCCTGGGCGCTGTCCCTCAGCTCTTCAGCTCAAGGCTAGTGCTCTACCACTTGA